CCATTCTGTGCTATCGAGGCCTTGAAAATCTCATTTATAGTCGCCTCGTTTTGCGTGTGCAGTCCAAGCGCTTAACCGAAAGGCTTAAATGTGAAATTGTGTGAAAAATGCTAAATTTTGGTATTAAAATGAATAAATTTGACTTCGGACAATATTTTGGGAAAACAGACCCGGACCCGTGCTTTGACGGTCCCGGAGGGTCCGTAGGAAAATATGGGATGTGGGCGTATGCCCGGAATCGAATTCCGAGGTCCCAAGCCCGAGAAATGAATTTTTCAGTAAAATTGTTTTTCTAAAATTATTAAGAAAAATTGAAATGAAAATTGATTAGAACGTGTTGGTATCGGGCCCGTATTTTGGTTTCGGCGCCCGATACAGGTCTTATATGTGATTTACGATGTTTCTATAAAGTTTGCTAAAAAACGGACGTCGTTTGACGTGTTTCGGACTTGAAATCCTAAATTTGGAACTTGATGAAGTTTTGGAAAAATGCCTTGAATTTGAGGTTTAATTTGTTGAAAATGATGTTATTTTGGCGATTTGATCACACGGGTAAGTTCGTATGATGTTGTTGAGTTAGTGCATGTGTTTGGTTAGGAGCCCCGAGGGCTTGGGTGTGTTTCGGATGTGTTTCGGGATGGTTTTGACTTAGAAAAAGTTGCAGAAAGTTGCAGATCTGGTGTTTTGATATTTAGTTCTATGCGATCGCATAGGCAGCGTCGCGATCGCATAGTGTAAGCTTCCAGGTGCCCAGTTTTGTTCTATGCGATCGCATAGATTCATTCGCGATCGCGTAGCTTAGCCCAATTCATTCAATGCGATCGCATCCTTCCTCCCGCGATCGCAGAGCATTAAACCAAATCTGAGATGGGAAGCCCTTTCTTCTATGCGATCGCAGCGTTTGGTTCGCGATCGCAGAGACCAACCTTCCCTTCCCCAATGCGATCGCATGACTCTCTTCGCGATCGCATAGAGCATTTTTCGCCCAGTTATATTTTAATTTCCAAAAAAAAAACAGTGACGGGATTTCATTAAGTTTTCACGAACTCCTTCTCCAAGGTCCTTAGGCGTCCATTGAAGCTTTCTTTCACCAAAACTTCGTGGGTTAGTAATCTTTAACTCGTTTCCTTCATTTTTCATCAACATCTAATGAATTCCTAAGCCTAAAACATGTAATTTAGGGTAGAAAATTTGGGGATTTGGGTAGAGTTAGGGCTTTTTGATTTTTCTTGATTTAGACCTCGTTTTGGGGTCGAATTTGAAAATAAATTATATATTCGGGCTCGTGGGTGAATGGGGGATTTCATTTTGGTCTGAACCTCGTGTTTTGACCAAGCGGGCCCGGGGTCGATTTTTGGGATTTTGGGAAGAAAGCTTGGAAAGCTATAATTAGGCATTGGACTTGATTTGTTTAGCATGTATTGATGTTATGACGTCATTATTGTATAGATTTGATTGATTTGGAGCCGAATTCGAGAGGGAAAGCGGTTGTTGGGGATTGATTTAGCCGTGAAAGTTTGAGGTAAATGTTCGGTTTAACCTTAGCTTGAGGGATTAGGAGTTGAGTCATATTTGTTATGTGTTTCTTGTGGAGTACGACGTATAGGCATGATGATGAGTATCTATATATCGGTGTCGAGCATGATTGTGAGTCTTAAATTGACATTTTGTGTTCTTGAATAATACTATGGATGAAATAGTGAGTAGACTTGTGATATTGAGCAAAGGCTTAGCTTATTTTCGTGGAAGTTAATCATGAATTAGAAATGGTGATAATAGAAATGTTAAAATTCGAATTGAGATTGGTTATAGCTGGTTCTCCCTTGTCGGGATGAGTATACTTGTACTGTTGAGTTCCCTTGCCGAGATAGAGTATTCTATGATTAATCCCCCTGCCGGGTTTTGTGGTTATGATTACTGTAAGCTATGTATATTTGGAACGGGTTGCGCGCCGCAACATACGTTATATTGGATCGGGTTGCACGCCGCAACACATATTGTATTGGGTCGGGTTGCACGGCGCAACATATATTGTATTGGGTCGGGTTGCGCGCCGCAACAGGTGTATATTATAACTAGTGGATCGGGTTGCATGCCGCAACAGTTATATTTATACATACGGATCGGGTTGCGCGCCGCAACAGTAGTGCTATCATATTGTTTTAAACATTGTACTGTTCCTTCATATTTAATTCAGTTTTTGCTAAGTTGAACTGTTTCCCCGAGGCATGTACCCCCTCCCTTATAACTGCTTATTACTTGTTTATTTTCTGTAATATTTTTATATAACTGCACAGGTTTATCTGGAGTCTGGTACTAGCCTCGTCACTACCTTACCGGGGTTAGGCCAGACACTTACCAGCACATGGGGTCAGTTGTGCTGATGCTACACTTTGTGTTCTTTTGCACAGATCCAGGTGTTGGACAGCAGCTGCAGTAGCGCGGGAGTTAGCCTTCAGTTCAGCGAGACACCGAGGTAGCCTTGCAGGCGTCCGCAGGCCCGGCATCTCTTCTATCTTTTATTTTAGTCTGTTATGTCATGTATTTCGAGACAAACAGTTATATTTTCTTTCAAACGTTTGTATTTTGCACTCTTAGCAGTTTGTGAGTATGTGATACCAGTTCTTAGGTAGAGGCTTATGTGGATTTCTACATTGTTGTTCAGATTCTTTAATTTAAGACTTCCGCTTATTTATTTTATTCTGCTGTTTTCATGATATTACTGATAATTGTTAAAAGAGGTAAATTGGTTAATGACAAAGATAATTAAGGGTTGGCTTGCCTAGCTCTCATTAATATGCGCCATCACGACTCTCGGGGATGGAAAATTCGGGTCGTGACATGTTATGAGAGTAGAGGTCTAGGTTTTTGTTGTGAGTAGTCGAGATGGATGGATAGGCAGTGTTGATATCTATATTGATATCTGCTAGGTTACGTGAGGCAGTGGTGTTAGAGAGATTTTGCTTAGATTTTGTTAGGGAAACGTGATGTTGTTCATTAGCCATTTGGGATTGAGGGAAGTTCTTTGGCCACGTGGTTGGGTATTGAAGATGGTGGATTATCACCCATGCAGCTAGGTAATATAGCATTAGTGGTGGGGTGTGTTATATTAGAGGAATTGGAGGTGGTTGTGTGTGACATATGCATAGATTTAAGATGGTTTAGGGCATCATTAGTAGTAGAGGAGTAATTATGGCTTTGCATGTGATTTAAATGAGTGATTTTGAGGTCTGCCAAGTGGACGTTTATTGGCTCATTGACAGCCACGTCAATTACCATATAGGAGTTGTCGTTATTTCCTAGATTCCCTATGAATTCATTGGTGGTAGCAGCGGAGTGTCCAATGTACCAAAGGAGCTGTTTGTGTCAATTGTATTAACATTTTGATTAGTATTATTTGTAAGTAAAAAAGGAGTAGGAGTCTTCCCGTTGAGATTAATATTTCTAGATAGAGGGGTAAGGGAGGACTTACCTGAGATGGGAAGTAAATGGACCATTGTCTTACCATTATTGTTTGTTGTGATTTTGGCTTGTACATAGTCTTCTTCTTCTTGGGGAAAGAAACAATGTGTCAGACATCTTCTTTGGGCAGAGGAGATCCTTTTTGCATGTCATGACTTGGATTGTCTAAAGCCTTAGATTGGCTAGTAGCATTGTCTTCTTTTGGAGTGGAAGGTTTGCTTCTTTGTATCATGTAATTGCATGAGGCCATTGAATTCCCTAGTCTACCACAATTCTTGCATAGGAAGTTGACACCTTCATAATGAATTTCTTGTTTGTGTGGTCCAATGTAAACGAATGGTGTGACCGGAACCTCCAGTGGAACTTCAATACATAATCTAGCATAGCAACCCCTTAGGGTAGAAGAGGTGCATGCATCAACTTTTAAAAGTTTACCAATCTTGTTTCCAACTTTTGTGAGGATTTGACCATCATAAAATTCAGTTGGCAACTGTGGTAAACGTATCCAAATAGCAGCTAGTGAGATCTTGGCTTTTGAGGCAATAAAGTTTGGTACCCATTTTTGGACAGATAGGAAATGTCCAAAGATGAACCAAGGACCTTGATGAAGTACTTTTAGCATGCTATCTTCATTGCTAAACTTTGTAATAAAATAATCAGATCCTAGGTCTATGAGTGAAAAATTTTCTTTTAGTTTCCACAGATCTTGAATTTTCTTTTTGAGTAATTGGTGTTGGATTCTCATTCCTTGTAGTTTTATGATCGTAGAGAATTTCCATGGAGAGTAAATGCGATGTAGGTCTTCTGGAAATAGATGAATTAGATGATCATCATTTTAGTAGGGTATTGTATTTGCAAGACCATTGGAATGTGGTACATGAGACTGGTTATGTGGATCAATGACCATGTGGATCTCCCCATCTTGAATCCCATCAATTAGTCTGTCCTTGAAACTTTGGTTTGAAGGCGTAGGAGTTGTTGAGCATTGCATTTGATCAATGTCAGGAAGCTTAGGAGGAATGAAGTTAGTGGTTTTTGGATTGTTCATAGTTAAGATTGTAGCGAGAAGTTAGAGGTTCTCCCTCTAAAGGACTTGAAGATTCGTCCGTTTACGATATTTATCTCAAACTAATAAGACGGTACTCTCTTGCCTCTTGGAACAAAAAATATATAGATATATAAGCTGGTTCTCTTGCAATGAAGAATCCAAATGCGAAATAACAGATTTTCGACGAGAATAGTAGTCTTCAGCTGGATACTCTACCCCTTTACTTACTTTCCATTTTAACTTTTAATTGCTTATCTAAAAAGTTGAATTAATTTCACATTTGTTCACCGAACTTTATGTATTTTATAGTAAATTCACTTGTTAGTACTTAAAATTCACTTCTTTGTGCATATAAATAATGTACTTTTTAAACTTGTGGAGTGATTTCTCAAGAGCACAAGAACCCAACAAATAAAAAAAAAATCCCATAATAAATAATAAAGGAAACACTAAGTTATAGAAAGTTGGAAGGGTAAAGGAATAGGACAAATGAACAAGAAGAAGAACCTTACGTAGGTTACACATATGCGATAAACATTTTGTATTACTTTTACAACGTACAAAAGATACATTTATCGATTATTGTATCGATATAGAAAGTCATTCATGACTTCTTTTATTACTTTTACAAAGCACAAAAGACAAAGAAATGAGAAAAAGACAAATAAAAACGTTAAAATCACAAGAACACACTAATGCACATAATAGGAGAGCGTTTGCCATTCGACACTAATTCAAATCACACATGTAGCCACCTAGCACCGCGTATTTACAAGCACAACAAACCCAACAATCACTGCAATCACTGTTCGAAGTACAAGATCTAAAACAAGTATTCAGTTGTGGGAGCAATCTCTTCGTAAATTCTGAAAGAACATGGTCAACATCTGGTGTTGCTTCGACTTGATTATTTGAAAATCCCGACACATTGACTGAAAAATTCCACCAATATCATATAATTATAATTAAATAACCATCGACATAATATGAAAACTCCACATCTAAACATCATATAATGGAACATATGGGTATAAATTAATGGATTCATATGAAATATGCACAAATTCATATATGTATCTATATACATATTAACAAACACAAAATAATTGTAAGTGTAATATATAGATAAATAAAGACGGATACTAACTAGTGATTGTCATGATAAAAATAACGATAATGAAACTACTTTGCGACCAAGGGAATATTTACTGAAATATTTCAACATCATAAATATCAATATCAAATAATTATCACCGTAATATGGAAAATCCACATTTAAACATCATATAATGAAACAAATGCATGCACATTATGGATTCATATGAAATATGTGCAAAAAGTCATCTATATACCTATATACATATTAACAAAATACATAATGTAGAAGTATAATGTAGAGAAATATAGAGATAGATACTAACTAGTGACTGCAATGATAAGAATAGTGATAACGAAACTAAGCTTAAATATCGCCATGCTAGGATTAATATTTCAGCTTTATGACGTTTTTGTACGAGTATCTCATTGCTCTTAAAAGTTTGTAATTTATAGGCCTCTCGATAAGTAAACTACCTCTCAAGCATACTATAGTTGCTTTTTTTAAAATATTATTTCTGAACTTATTTTTCGTTCAAGTCGTGCTCACGATGGCATAGCTTATTTTTAATGCATTCTATAGTTTAAAATCACACTTCTTTCGGAAAAACGAACATGCATTTAAGATTTGGTATGAGACATTTTGCCAATAAAGTACTCTATTATGGAAATGTGCTTCTTTATTTTACTCCTCCGTTTCTTTTTAATGATTTCTCTAACCTTTTTAAGTTGGTCTAAATAAGTATTATTTGACGAAATCAAGAAGGTATTAATTTTTTCTTTCAAAATTACCATTTTCTAATAAATTTTAAACAACTTTATAAGAAGTCTTTCAAAATTTCTTTTATATTTTCCCATACATAGATCAAAGGATATTTTAGTAAAATAACTTATTTAATTAGTATTATTAAGTAACGTTCTTAATGAGTATGTTAAACGCTTGAAAATCACTTTAATAAACAGAGGGAGTACCTTTTTAAATAATGGGTTGACTTAAATTGAGATCCATTTTTTCTGCATGATGTATGTTAGAATTAAAGATGAACACAATCCAATGCATTTATACTATACATCTGGCTATTAAAATTGTCTATTAAACTAGCATTGTCCATTTGATTAAAAGAAACTATAGGATTTTTTCTTTTATGTTTGGTCGAGACTCTTTACTCCAAGGGGCGTTGAAAAGAGAAGTTAATTCCTCCTTGACATAAGAAAAAATTAAATATTATGGACCAAAGAGAAAAGAGACCAAAAATCAATTATAGTGGATCAATTAAAGGGAGTACTAAATTAGCATTTTTTTGTTATATACTTCTAATGGTAATTGAACTTCGCACATGATTCAATTAATGAACTAGCTACGCTACTTGTTAATTGCTTATTATACAAGCTTGGATCACAAGGTCGCATGCCAATTTGAGTAGTACTGCATGTGATTTTCCTTCTCATTTAATTTATGCCAATTTTAGAAACCATTGCTAGAAAAATTAGAGTAAAGCTTAAGATTGTAGGAGAAGGCATTTTTTTTAAATCGGGAGAGAAATTCTTAAACTTTCTTACTTGATTCTTTTAATACAAAAGAACCCTATTTATAAGCAAACAAATTACCTTTCAAAAGCGTCAAGAGTCAAAGTGTCTCTTTATTTCTTTATGTCACGACCCGGAATTTTCACCTTCGGGAATCGTGATGGCGCTTACTAATGTGAGCTATGCAAGCCAATTTTGTAACTACTTACTTCATTAACCCATTATTTCTTTTTAACAGATATAAGGAGATAACGTGATAACAACGGAAAATCAAACTTAAGCGGAAGACAACAATAAAATATATCAAAAAGCTGTATCTATTACAAATACTTAATCCTTAACCACCCAAAACCTGGTGTCACAGTGTCACAGACGGTCTAAGACTGCTAAATACAAAGTCGGAAAATAAAAGACCCGTTGTTTCTGAAACAAAGGAATGAAACAGGGAATAAGGGATAGAGGGAGATGCCAAAGCCTGCGGACGCCTGCAGGTCTACCTTGGGTCTCCGGGTGGACTGAAGGAAGCCTCCAAACTATGGCCCACAAGCTGCTCCGGGATCTGCACACAGTGCAGAGTGTAGTATCAGCACAACCGACCCCATGTGCTGGGAAGTGTCTAGCCTAACCTCGGCGAAGTAGTGACGAGGCTAGGACCAGACTACCAAATAAACCTGTGCAGTTCAAATATATATTCAGCGGAAAAGAAATACGGAATAAGCAAGTAAAAATGGGGAGGGGGAAACATGCTTAAGAGAATAATAGGTAAAAATGGGATATCAAGAGGACTATAAAGGAATCAAATCCAATCACGAACAATAATAAGGAAAAAAGGCAGATTTCACTTCTTTTCACATCTTGTTGTAGGCGTGCAACCCGATTCCATTTCCTGTATCTCGTGGTAGGCGTACCACCCGCTCCCACTTTATTTATCTTGTGGTAGGCGTACCACCCGCTCCTATTTCATCTTATCTTATGGTAGGCGTACCACCCGCTCCCATTTCATTATATCTTGTGGTAGGCGTACCACCCGCTCCCATTTCATTATATATTGTGGTAGGCGTACCACCCGCTCCCATTTCATCATATCTTGTGGTAGGCGTACCACCCGCTCCCATTTACAAACCAACAATAATCACAAGGAATCCCGGCAAGGGAACAATAATATCAAACAAACATCCCGTCAAGGGAACAATGATATCTCAACAATATCCCGACAAGGGAACAATAATATCTCAACAATATCCCGGTAAGGGAACAAGAATATCTCTACAATATCCCGGCAAGGGAACAATAATATCTCAACAATATCCTGCCAAGGCAACAATAATATCTCAACAATATACCGGCTAGGAACAATAATGATACTAACATGTGAGGCATAATAAACCACAAAGGAGTCATAACATTTTATAACACAAGACTCACGGGCATGCTTTACACCCACGTATAGATACTCGTCACCATGCCTATACGTCGTACTCCCCAATTAACATGTAGCAAATAGACAAAACTCCCTCAATCTAAGGTTAGACCAAAAACTTACTTCGATGCCACGAACACAATTCACGATTCAATTATACCTATACCCCTTGTTTCCACCACAAATCCGCTCGTATATAGTCATAAGTTACTTAATTACATCAATAAACGCTAAATGAATCAATTTGAATGCATGAGAATGAATTTTCCAAAGTTTTGTTCAAAAAGTCAAAAACGCCCCCGGGCCCACATGGTCAAAACCCGAGGTTCGAACCAAAATCCGATTACCCATTCCCCCACTAACCCAAATATATAATTTATTTTGCAATCGGACCTCAAATCGAGGCCCAAATCCACAAATTTTAAAAAAACCTAGGTTCTACCCAAAACAGCCGATTTCCCCCATGAAAATCTTCGATTCTAAGTTAAAATCATGTTAAAAGATGTTAATTATTGAAGAAAACTAGTTAAAACGACTTACAATTGATTTGGAGAAGAAGAAGAAGCCTTTGAAGAAAATCGTCCTAGGGTGTTTATGTTTTGGGAGGATATGAAAAATGGGTTTAAAATCGGCTAAGTATAAAAGTTGCAGGTTGCAGGTATGGGAAATGCGAACAGGGGTTCGCAATTGCGAACCCCGACCTCTGCTATGTTGGGAAATGCGAAACAGGGTTCGCATTTGCGAACCCTTCAGGAAAATAGGATCTTCGCATTTGCGAAAGGCATTTTTCATTTGCGACTTGGGAATTGCGAAGAATGGGTCGCATTTGCGACCCAAGGCTAAACGGGGTATTTCACATTTGCGAAGGAGTACTAGCATTTGCGAGCAAGACACGCCTGGGCTGATTTTCGCATTTGCGATCCAGCCTTCGCAATTGCGAGATCGCAATTGCGAGCCAATGCGAAGCGTGCAGGCCTAGGCACACCAGCTAAAATCCTGCAATGTTCTAAGTTCAAAATGCACTCCATGGCCTATACAAAACTCACCCGAGCCCTCGGGGCTCCAAACCAAATATACACACAACCTGAAAAACATCCCATGGACTTATTCGGTACTTTTATCACTAAAATAACATCAGCAATATCGAATTAAACATCAATATCAATGAAATTTATCAAAACTTCTTAAACATCAAATTTTCCAATTAAGGCCCGAATCACGTCAAACAGACTCCGTTTCTTACCAAACTTCACAGATTTACCTTATATCATATATAAGACCTGTATTGGGCACCAGAACCAAAATACGGGACTGATACCAACATGTTCTAATCAAAACATTTCCAAATCTTTTAAACAATTTTAGAAAACAATTTCTTTCAAAAATTTAGTTCTCGGGCTTGGGACCTCGAAATTCGATTTCGGGCATACGCCCAAGTCCCATATTTTCCTACGGACCATTTGGGACCATCGAATCATGGGTCCGGGTCCGTTTACTCAAAACATTGACTGAAGTCAAATTAACTCATTTTATTGTCAAAATTTATTATTTTTCATAGATTTTCACATATAAGCTTTACGGCTACGCGTCCTGACTGTGCACGCAAATCGAGGTGATGCTAAAAGAGGTTTTCAATGCCTCGAAATGCAGAATTAATTTTAAAAACAAGTGATGACCTCTTGGGTCATCACATTCTCCACCTCTAAAATAACCGTTCGTCCTCGAACGGACATAAGAAGGAAGTACCTGAGTCGGGGAAAAGACGGGGATAACAGCTCCGCATATCGGACTCGGACTCCTAGGTTGATGCCTCAGGAGGTTGACCTCCTCTCCACTGAACATGAATAGAAGGAAAACTCTTCGATCTCAACTGCGAACCTACCGGTCTAGAATAGCTACCGGCTCCTCCTCATAAGACAAGTCCTTGTCCAACTGGACAGTGCCGAAATCTAACACATGAGATGGATCGCCGTGATATTTTCGAAGCATGGACACATGAAACACTGGATGCACGGCTGACAAGTTCGGCGGCAACACAAGTCTATAAGCCACCTCTCCCACTCGATCAAGAATCTCAAATGGGCCAATGAACCTAGGGATAAGCTTGCCCTTCTTCCCAAATCTCATCACGCCCTTCATAGGCGACACTCGAAGCAATCCCCGCTCACCAACCATTTATGCTAAATCATGAACCTTGTGGTCGGCATAACTCTTTTTCCTGGACTGAGCTGTACGAAGCCTATCCTGAATAATCCTGACCTTGTGCAAGGCATCCTGAACCATATCCGTGCCCAACAACCGAGCGTCACCTGGCTCACATCATCCAACCGGAGACCGACATCACCTACCATATAAAGCCTCATAAGGAGCCATCTGGATACTTGACCGATAGCTGTTGTTGTAGGCAAACTCTAATAAAAGCAAAAACTGATCCCACGAGCCTCCAAAGTCAATGACATAAGCTCGGAGCATATCCTCC